CCATCAACTTTGAGATAATTACCTTCCCTTTGCTTCTCAGTGCCACCTCTTTGAAACTACCAGAAGACAGTCTTGCTATGGAGGAAAGGTTGCGACAGATTTGACTGATTTAAACTAAAAGTCCAGACAACATAAACATGAACTTAATGCTGCCAAAAGCTCAGTTTAATCTTAATTTGATTTTAAAACCCACACTGATGACAACAACCACCAGATCGGCAGCAGTATATATGATGTAATCACAGTTTGCAGTCTGTGGGAAGTAGACTTTATCTGACTTCAGTCAGGTGGAAGAGCAGTTAGATTGTTAAAGTAGCCCATCAGCCATTTTTCAAATAACATAAGCTGTTTTCAGAAGATATTTCCTAATATAAGATGAGTTGAAATGTTGCTAAAAACGAGGATTTTTTTAGAAGTAAGGATGGAAGTTTAATGAAGAAGCAAAACGTCTGGTGATGGTGAGGGTAACCACTGCAATCTAGAAATGTTTTTACATAAATTCTCACATTATTGGGAAGCAGAAACCTGGAACTTTGTCCTGCAAGGACTGGACCAAATTACAAAAACTAAATTATATAAACTTGATAAATACTTTACTTATATTGTTTTATTTATTTATTCAAATACACGGATCACTATGTCACACTTTGTAGCATAATTTGTCCTCCTCCTCCCAACCACTCTGCCCTTTATCCATAAAAAAATGAAAGGAGTAAAAGGAAATTATTTTAGGTTGAGTCCCAAATTGTTGGAACCAAATCAAACAGCCTAAATGTTGGAAAAAAGTGCTACTTATATTAATCAAACCAAAGACTAAGCCTTTACCATCTAAACAGTTTTCTATAATGTAATGGATTTGTCACTCGAATTTATGCTGTTATTGTCTTTCTCAACAGTTAGCTTTCACCATTAAAATAACATATTTAGATAAAGTTTCTTACTTTGATTCTTTAAAGTTAAATTTAAATTTTAAATAAATAATGTAAAAATATAAACATTTGTGGTTTATATACAGATCAGCCCCATACATATCCATATTTTAGTAATATCTATTTTAATGTAAAGTCAAAATGCTTTTATTTACTAAAAATTTTCTTTTTTAGTAACACAATCCTTTGCAAGTGTATAAATATTCCTCAAACTTTGCTTTACACATTTCCTTGTTTTCACAAACCCCCATGTGTTTTATTTTCTGATATTATGCCATAGACCAGGACAACTTTGTTGTTAAAATTCTTTGACAAATTAAAATCAGAAAAATAAAGTTAATTTTGTATTCAGCCCCTTACTACTCTGATACTGCTAGAAAATGAAGTATTTGGTGACATACGTTTCCCCACTCTCAATGAATGAAGTGATCAGTCATTTTTTTAAAGTACCGGTAGTTTTTTTTTTTTTTTTATTACAGAGGTCAGACATTTTCTGTAGCTTTTGACTAGGTTCTACACACAGGAGCAGGAATTTTGGCCATTCCTCCATACAGATCTTCTCCAAAATCTCTTCAAGTGTGGGGAAGCTTTTTGGGGTATTTTTAGGTTTCAAAGCTGTCGCTTGGCAACACACATTTTCAGCAGTTTTCCAATATTTCTGCTGCCCTCAGGTCTAGAGAAAAACAATGCCATCGCCGAATGACCCAGCCAGACTAATCTTTAAATACTCTTGAGGGAACAAGGTTGTCGTCCAAAAGCTTCTTTTGGAAAATCCATATGGTCTGGATACATACTGGCTTGAGCAGGGGAAACCTTGATCTATGTTAGGATAGAGAGTGTCTGATAATAACCTTAAACATTCTGGTCCGAGCTTTCTTCAGGTCATTGTTCTCCCATGAAGTTCTGGACTGTTCTATGCTGCCATATAGGGAACAAAGCAAATGTGTAGGAAAAGATACTTTGCTCAGATGAGATCAAAGTAGAGCTTGACTCACCATCCCCACCAGTGAGCACCAAGGTGGTATCAAAATGCTTTGGGGAGGTTTTTCTACAGTAGGAGCAAATGATTTAGAGGTAAAGGGAGCCTTAATATTCATTTACTAACAAATGCAGTTCACACATGCACAGGATGACTCACATCCAGGATGATTCAAATCTGGACACTACATTTATACATTCTCAGGACAAGATTCCCACATGATTTCTGATCCGTACACAATGTCATATATTGATTAACAAACTAAATGTGGTTGAAGGATTTTCGAGACTCCCCTGACTCACTCCTTACATAAATACATTTTTTTGACAAGAAAAGATTTTCAGCCAATTAGATAATTTCCTTGTTTCAGGGAGCTTCAAAAATGTTCCCCATGTGGGTGATTTATTATTTATTGGCCAATCACATGAATGTGTTCACACAATGCTGACCACATGGAGTTTCGAGCACAGGTGGAGTTGAGACTGTTGAGACTTTTACAGGCTTCCGGCATTAACAAGTGAGAAAGTGAAAAATAATGTAATTTAATATGTTTAACTGGCTATACACTGAAAAAAATAATGCAACCATTTTTGCATTTACTTAATTTGGCTTTAACACAATTGCTTCATGTTAGCAGGGTAGGACATAAAACAATTGTGTTAAAGTAACTAAATATGATTAAGCAAACGCCAAAAACGGTTGCATTATTTTTTTCAGTGTATCTTTGTTAGGAAATAACTAATTATTAATGTTAATCAGTTTAATTAAGCAACTATTAACATAAACTAGTAAGTTAAGAAAGATAACTGCTTGCATATGTAGATTGTCTAACCTTACAAAAAATAGACTATAGACTTTCCTTCATAAAGCAATGTGATGATTATTAGTAATTAACCCCCACCAGACGTCATTTAGACATTGTGTTTTTAGGGCTAAATCTAGTCGGACCATCATTGCTTTGATTTAGTCCAGAAATAGTTATTGAAAAATGGCCTGTGTTTATTTGGTCTGATTTTGTCCCACATTAGTCCAATAATTGGTGTTGTTTTCAATTATCTGAAAATGATGGCTTTTCACCAAATGTAGACATCATTTGAATGTAAATCATATCATCTTTTCAAAGTCTTTCACACCAATTTTTGCTTTGTTGGAAAGGTGATAGCCACATACTTAACTTCTCCTGTCCAGTAGTGCACCTGTGCTCACCTGTTCTCTTTCCTTACTATTTGCCATTTGGTTGCCCGGTCAGCTAATGCTAATTACCTCTAGTTAACATTGCACAAAGGAAGTTTCTGCCTAACTTTTGAGCCCCTTTGCCTCCTTAAGTTGGCACCAACACTTAAAAGCATGACATATATTTACCTTATTTTTGCCTTTTTTTGTTTTGTTTGGCTTGAATCAAAGAAATAAAGCAGGGAAGAAGCTGTTTCTCAGCTCTATCACAGAGCAACAAGGATCTGGCAACATCTGAGCTCCGTCTCAGATGACTGTAATAACCTACTATTCTGATTGGTTTAGAATCATTTCGTGTTGACGTTGGCGTCATCACCAGAAGATTATATTTATATATTTTGGATCTGTCAAAATTGAAAAATAATTTTCAATATACTTTTATTCTTTACCAGTTTAGATATTATTTGGACATATTTTTTTTTTTTTTTTTATAAACCAATGGTTTTGATGAAAACTCTGTAGGTATGACCCTTAAGGATCTCATAACAAGAGACCAAAGACTGTAGATCCTGGTCAGTATTAATGAAAGTTTGGACTAATATAGAATAAGATAAGATAAAAACTTCATTTTCCAGCAGGACAATGCTGCTGTTGCAGATGTAATGGAATGGCTCAGACCAAGGAGCATTTACTCTTAAATCAAACATTAAAAATATGTTTGCAAGACTTGAAAACTAATATTTATTGGCTCTCCTAACTCAGTCTAATCAAGCTTGAGCTTTTTTTTTTGCAAAGAGAATTGTGTAATGCATTTATTTTATTTTACCTTTTTATGCACCAAACTGGTAGACATACATTAAAAGACTTGCAGCTGTACATATAATAAAAAAACTCTGAAAACTATTGAATAGAGGTGTTGCCACATATTACGGATTTATTTATGCAAAAAAGAAAAAAAAAACGCATTTAAAATAGGTCAAAATTTGCCACACATTGATGTAAAAATATTATGGTTCTTTGATATTATTTTGGACTTTGAGTTTTGAGTTATCTAGGTCATTCTGTTTTGTTGATCTTTTGTTTATTTTTTCTATTTTTTTCTTATTGTCAAGCAGTCTTGAGTTACTCTCTGTTTCCCCCGTGTGCCAATCCCCTTCCCCCTAACTTCCTTCTAGTTACTTCTATCCACACCTGCTCCATATCAGCTGATTAGCCCAGTTTTTGTTCTGTCTCCCATATATACTCCCCCTGTGCAGTTCTTCAGTGCTAGTTTTATGTTGTTACTTGGCTCCCCATATTTTTTTCCTAGCTTTTTGGTTTGATTCTTGGATTTTTATTTATTTTTTTTTATCTTTTTGGTATTATTAAACCTGCCAGAACTCATCTCTGTCTCCCTCATCTCTGCATTTGGGTCCTCAACCAACCTCCACCCCCACATTGACAAAACAACAATTTTAAAGCACTGTCCAAAATGTTTAGTTTAGATCTGGACTTTAAGGAGGCCTTTCTAATATTCTCTGATCTAAAAATGTAATTATATTGCTCCATGATAAATAGTAGATAATTTCTTTATTATATATTTTTGTTTATAATCGGATCCATTTTCACATGAGCTCAGCTCCCTTTTAGTTTCTATTCTCCTGCATACTGCCAATAACAGTTTTCACTGAAGGGAGTGTGTATTTACACTGATTTACAGGATTATTCTATTGCTACATGTAGCTTTCTGCATGGAGGCCAAAAGGTTTAGTCCTTATCTCATTATAAGACAGGTCCCTCATTTACATGATTTATCAGATCGATGTTGAAATAGATTTTGAGTAGGCTGAAGGGGGCTGAATACAAACATGCGCAATCCTTTCAGATTTTACATTTTTAAATAAATATTGTTTTTTGTCTAAAGGGTGTAAATAATTTTGTCTAGATCTTTTTTTTAAGGAGTTTATCCCATTTAGTATTAGCTGTTGTTGTGAACTGAAAGTTAATGTTAACTGGATTCTAATCTTTACATGTATTAATGTGACATTTAAACTGCACTTGGTTGCGGGTCCAGCCTCAAATCCTCATTCTATGAATGAAACAAAGTTGGACATATTGAAAAGAAATCATTCTGGTTGCCATGTTTTATACTAAAAATCAACTCTAGAAAAACCTGCTTTAGAAAAAAAAAAGATTTAAAAGACCCTGTTATTCCATTGTATTCATATGTAATTTATTTTAGCAATTGCTAATCTCCAAGGATAACTTCTTTTGCATCAGCAGCATCTTTACATTCATAACTGCTTTGGTAAGGCCTTAAGGTAAAAGTTTCGCATTTAACACGCTCACCTTGGAGTAAAAAAGTCCAACTTGTGTTTAGCCTTATTGCAGGGAAAACAAAATCTGTCACAATATCTCTCAATGTGTTACCACCTACAGTAATTCAGAGAACACAGACTGCTCTCCCCTACATGTTAAGATTAAAACACGGAAACACTTCGATTCCCCATAATGCTAGTGGCTATATCAGCATTTGTTTTATTCACCCAGGGTTAGGTTGACGGATGGTGATAAATGGGAATGCAACAAAAAGTGTGATAAAAAATAAATAAAACGTGAACAATGTTGTATTCTTAATTTTATTTAAAAGCTGTTGGCATGTCAAACCTGTTTCCCCCTCATTCAGTGATTGTAATATTCTCATTAACACTCTTTATTTTCTCGGAAACAATCACTATAAAACTGTATCCTCATTTGATTCACTGTAAGCAAGAACATTTCAAAAAGTATTGTGTTTAACGTCACACTCTACCATTAGGGAGACAGTGGGCACCATGTTCATAAATCTCAGTTTAAAAAGTATTTTTTTTTGTGTGTGTGTGTGTGTGCATGCAGGACTGGGCGAGGGACAACAGTTTTAGAGTAAAAAGCAGCACCATTCATTATAGTAACTAAATACTGTTAAAGTGTCATTTGCACCTGTTTTTTCCCTAGAACTACACAAGCAGATCAAAATGAGAACATAAGGCCAGATGCTGTGCAGAATGGAAACGTTCGGCTAAGAAATGCTCCCTTAAAACCAGACAGATGCTCTGTCAAATCAAATAATACCTCTTATTTACTATGAATACTAAATGATAACATAAACTGTGAATAGGGTCATATGATTTATACTCTAAGTAGAAATAAAATTTTTAGAATCATATAGTTTTATTGGACTGGCATGAACACCGTTAAAAAAGGATACAAGGTGCAATTTGTACAACCTCTATATATTCATATATGAAATTCTGTAGTAAATTTTTCATCTCTGTTCTTGCAATTCAACTGCAACAATATCATGTGAGCATCATAAACTACATTTCCCTTGGAAATACAAACATGAATATTATAAGGTGCAAATGCATTGTTTGAAAAAGGCTGTCTAAGTCTTTTTTTTATAATTCATATTTGTTCTGCAGAGGAAATGTGGACAGGAGCTTGTCATTTACACATTTTCTTTTAAAAAGTCCTAAGGCTGAATGGTATTGCAGGTCTGGAAATGACTTAATGTGGGAATAATGGCCTGGGAATTCTTCATCCTTTTTTTCTTTTTTACATCTTAACCAGCAGCAATGGTTAACAGCCCCAGCACTCCTAGTTAAAATGCAGGCAAACAAAAATACGTGTGGCAACATCAAAAGTGGCAAGCTGTTTGCTTTATTTGAAAAAGCCAACTATTAAGGATTTATTCTTTAAAAAAGAATGGAAAAAGCACAATATTAAATCGATATTGTTAAAAAAAAAAACTGTTAAAAACTTTTGACTAACATAAGATAAAGATGGGATGCTTTAGCCAAAAAGCATTGCTGCTGGTTATAAGGAAAATGTTGCACTTTATTCCTTTGACTGCAAAACATGTGTTTAGGTATAGGAAAAATTTAGGAGGACCAAAATAAAAAAAAAAAGAAAGCAAAATAAAAGCTCTAAAAAAGTCTGATCCCTGTAGTTTAAGATACACTTGGCAAACGTATAATTTGTACAAATATTACCAAGCCCCTTAGCTAATAATTCTGGCTGACTTTAAAATGAAGAATGCTTTGTAAATCATTGAAAAAATGGTTTAGTCTTGGATCTTTTGTGAATTACAGACAGTTGGGGGTTCAAAAAGTGGCTTATGTATGTTTTCCTTTCATCATTCTTTACTAGTTTAAGTCATGCTGATAAAAAAATATTTTGTTAAAATCCCAGTGTAGTTCTAACAGGAAAGCCAGGGGAAGGCCAACATATAAAATGATTGAAGGACATGAGGGGCAGATGTTGTGCCACAACACGCTGGTGTCTAATGGAGATGGACCGCAGGAGCTAAGAATGATTGTGTGGACCTCAAAGCCGTGTTTGGGCCTCTGGGATGTAGATCTCAATGCTGTCCGCTCTCTCCGTGGCTGAGTTCTGTCTGAAAGAAGCTGCTCGTTTGGCAGCCATGAGGCGTCTTCGGGCTTCCTGACGCTGGCGATCCTGGAGGTCGAGAGAGCGCTCCCGCATCACGCCTCCACGTCCCCTCGATGGCCTCTTTGGCAGAGGCGGTGGCCACTTTTGATCCTTGAGACACATAAGAATTGATTAAATCTTAGAAAATAGTCCATGTTTTTTTTTCAAAAGGGAAATTACATTAATTATACAATAAAATAGAAGAAACATTAAAGCAAATGAAGATAAAAGCAGATAGTAAATATTTTCCCTTTATCCATTTGCTGAGTGTAATTGTTTTGTTATTTTCTTTAACATGTTGCATTTGGAGTAAAGCCTTCCTTCTTGTAAAAAGGCCCCCCATCTGTTGTTGGTAAAAGATTTAAGTCATAGTGAATAAAATCCTCTGTATTGTATCCATGCAGGAGTGGCAGCCTAGAGGTTAGGGCATAGATCTTGGAATCCTGAGGTTCTGAGTTTGAGCCCCATGCCCACACACTGCTCCCTGGGTGCCACACGACAGCAGCCCACTGCTACCCAAGGGGATGGGTTAAATGCAAAGGTTAATTTGCTCTGGGGTTGATGCTCACAGTAAAGTAAGCACCACAAAACTGTTTCTTACATCTTTGTACCAGAACCTAAACTTAAACAGATCAACAAACACATCTTGGCTAATTTCTTTTATTTATTTATTTTTTATTTTACAGAAGAAAGTATGTTTGGAGGGTTGCCAAAAAATAAATCCAGTCCTCTAGTGTGCACACCTTCAACTTAAAAGATGGAAACTACCTACAAAAAGCTTCTAGCCATGATATATTGTCTAGCTTTTTCCAAAATGAATTTTGTCTATCTTGTTATTATTATGATGTTTATTAAATAAATTTTAAAGCTAAGTTGAAGTTATTCTTAATCCTGACAGATTTTGATTTTAATGATTTTCATTATGCCAAGAAGTTTGAAACTAGACATAGTTTTATCATCTACAAAAAGATAATAAAACAATGTCAAATTGCAAAAAACGTTGAAACAAAGGTTTATCTATTTTAATTCAATCTTCGATATCATATTTCAAGCCGAACACTATTTAGCACTTGCTAATAATCAATGAAAATCTTTGTCAGCATTACAGCAACCCTTCTTTAAAATAATGACCAACTTTTTGTATGTTTCCACTGATATTTTCCCAATGTACCTTTTGCAGTGAGATTCATAGAGGTTGGAGGGCCTTACAGACTAATCACTAGCTACCTCCATAGATCATATATCTTATTTAAGTCATTCTGGAATAATAACATTATAACTTTATGGTATCTGCCAGGGTTTGAATAATTGTGGCGCAGCTCTATGTATATGAATAGTTAACAAAATATTGTGAAAAACTCAATTAATATGAACGTTTATTGGGATTACCTCTGAAAACAGCATTCTATCCGATGCCAAATTAACTTAATCTACTTTATTACTGCATATCAATTAGCTGATGTTGAAACTACATAAATAAAAACACATTTCCATATGAAGATCATGAGAGACTTCTGAGGACAGGCTGAGTTTCTGTGATTGCAAGCTGGGGTTGTTTTAAACAGCGCCTGCCCTTATTTAGCAACGGCAGGCATGGAGCATCTGTGTCACTGTGAGGGTTCAGCTCTACTGAACTAACTATGTCCCTGCAAACAGCTGGAGGGAACAGTGTGCTTATAGCAAAAAGTGTGGCATAAAGATAATTACCCAAGTGCCCATAATGATCTTATTGCTTCTAAACTCGCAGTCACTAATGAAATTGATGCCTCGCAGCTTTAGATCTGTCATGTGGAAGCACTATTTTTATAAATGTGCCTTAATGTAAACTGTGTGGAGAGTGCCTTACACTAAGTGAATGCTTATATAACCTCAGTGCTTCACATCTGCTCGTGAAGATACGTACATACCGGCTAATAATATCTTAACTCCACCTTGTTCCAAGACAAAAGCGAAAATCAGCTTTCATTTATAACCTTACAATAGTTACTGTAGTTAAATTCAGATTCATAGAGGTTTCATTCATTACAGAAAGGCTCAATATTTTACCCAAACATACAGAATTGTCTGATTTAAAGGTATAGAGGAAGATCTTTTTCACCCAGATTTCTGGGTGGATCATCTACATAAGTGGTCCTCCTAACTGTCAATCATTCTGGTGATATGTTCACGTAAGGTCGTCCTATTCATCCATTTCAGGCGTATATCCGTGGTGAGCTACGTTTTCAGACACTCATTGAAGCTCACCTTTCTCACTGCGGTTTTTTGAAAATGGCCGGTGGTCGTAAGAGAAAAAGTGTCTACAAAGTGTATGAGAAGAAAAGAAAGGCCTCAGAAGAGGCAGATCTATCCCGGGAATGCTTTGCACGTAGAGCTCTCCTCTCAAAGCATTATGGGATTTGCTGTCACAGCGGCCCGCCGTCTTTACCCGACAGCGGCGACTAATAATAAATAAAGTGCATGCACTCCGCAGTGAAGGAGGAGTTACTTGACCAATTAAGCAAAAAGCAGTCATCATCTGTCCGCATGGTAAGTTAACTGATTTAGCTACAAAGTCCACTATATAGTCCTCGCTCTATCTAGTGATTGAGGGATTTAGGGGTTAGGGCAGACGTTCGGACACAGTAAGCTTATATGAGCTATGAGAACAGCAACTTTTAATCAGGGTGTGCACGAGGTGAAATGGGCTTGTTAATTTCATGTTAAGAGGGTGGGTCTTTTAAGCAAATCGCAAAAATCCTCCACAATTCCTTTAAACTACATATCCAGGTCCAAATGGAACATAATGAGGCATAATGCTAATAAATTATGTAATGTTAATGAAATTACTATTAAGTTAGAGAAGAAAGTACTAAAGTAAAAATGCCTGTGCAAATTCCCAGTCATCTGTCGAAACATCTTCAGGAAAACCTGAGCTAAAGTCCATTTGCCTCAGTTTTAAGCTGTTTTATGGTCACTAAACAAAAACTTCGAAGACTGGCTTTTGTTGATTTGTACAGATAAAACAAACATCCATGACTTTTAACCCCCCTGAGGAGTATGGAAAATGTTTAAAGGGCAGAAATCAGGTTTATGAGGTATTAAACGTTCAGTATACTGAGGGTGTGAAGCACAAATTAATAAAAGCTGGCAATTAGATTGTTTCTTTAAGTGGAGGAATATTTTTGAAACATTTCCCTGATATTAAAATATACTGTTTAGCCATACATTTCTTTTAAACAGAATTGGTCCATATATGGAGGAATATACGGCACATGATCCCACAATCCTTTCTGCCCTCTGTTTAAGTTCATTTTTAGTTTATTTGTAAGTCTGTGTCTTTGTAGTTGTTTTCTGTTTGTGTTGTGTTTTTGAGTTACTCTCTGTTGCCCCCTAGTGCCTGTTTCCTTTCCCCTTGGCTTCCTTCTAGTTAGTTCTATTCACACCTGCTCTATATTAGCTCATTAGTCCATTCTTTGTTCTCATCTCTGCCTCCTCCTCTCTGCATTTGGGTCCTCAACCAACCTCTACCAAACCTTGACAAATCCATTGATTTCTTGACCTGTTTTTGTTTCTAAATAAAGTTGCTGTTGGAGACGGTTGTCACTGGATTACGAAGTAACTCTAAGCTTGTTTTCAATGGAAACAACAACCCAAAGCTGAGGGAAAAGGACAGAACAAAGTTTAAGTGTGGCTACATTAGAGAGCGCCCAGTTTATCAATGGAACTGCTACTTTTGTTTGTGAGTACTACATTTCTGCAACAAAAAAGGTGTTTTACTGTGTGTTTTGCCTTAGTTTTATGTGTGTCTTTATTTTTGCCTTCGACTAATATCTGTAGATCTTATCCTTAAATAATAATCAATTAATAGTCCCTCAAAAAGCTTGCTTTACCATCTTACCTACAGTAATATGTACAAGCACTTCTAAAATTGAATAGAACCAAAATCAGTATATTGTTTTAAAACATTTTGGTCATCAACATAGCAGAAGTTACTATTTTTACTGGATTTTTCAATATTATTTTTTAACCAAAAAAACAAGAAATTATAACTTGAATTTGTTGATTGTTGCACAAAATACTCATGAAATTAGGCACATTATTGGCTATATTGAATACAGTTTAATGACTACATTTATAAAGTTGTACAATGCATATTTTACTAATATTTTTATTAACTTTTTCTGGTCCAATAGCTAAACGCCGAAGAACAGCGTTGCTATCCCTAGTATTGATATTAGTAAGGCTTGGCAGTCTTGGCAGAGAACGCCATATGCTTCTGTCTCAAGCCAGGGCAAGGCAAGTTTATTTTTTATAACATAATTCAGCACAAGGACAAGTCAATGTGCTTTACATGAAATAAACAATGAAACAGAAGAAGCATAAAAGCAGAATAAAATCCAATGAAGATAAAACACAATAAAATCAGGTAATAAAACATAAAAAAACTAACCATGACTTTAAACTAATAATACCTTAGTTAGTTTAATAGTCAAAGTATTTTTTTTTATTTTTTTTTATGTAGTAGTAGTTTCAAATAAGTGGAACATAGGGACTAAATGCTGCTTCTCAAAGTTTGGTTCTGGTTCTGGATGTAGGCTTGAACTAGAAGACCTGAGTGATCTAAGACTGGAAGACTGCTGGTTAGCGAGACGGTATGCTGAGCTTTATGGGGAGATCCAGTGAATTGTGTGAGCTGATACTAGAGCTTCACTCAGGGACCTGGAAGATGGAAGTCCAGTTGGATAACAAAGGTTGAGAGAACCTGTCTGTGATGAGCAAGCATGAAGCGACAGTGGAGAGGAAAAGCTCCCCGTTGGGAAGAAACCTCTGGCAGAACCAGGCTCAACATGGCGGTCTTCTGCCAGACCGGTTAAGATGAGACAGGGAATGCAGTAAGAGTCCGGGAGGAATGACACCCTGATGAAGCTTTAGCTACAATGGTGGAGGAGGGGCTGGAGGTGGATTGAAACGGTGCATCCACCGCCTGCGCACAGGAGCAGACAAGTGGATTGCAGGCCTTTTAAGATGAACTTTGGATGCTGATTGGCTTTTGTGGATGTGTGGTTCAAGCTGATTGGCTGTGTCACAGGTGGATGTAGGAGAGCAATTACTTTCTTCAGTTGAACTTCAACCTAGGCTCTATATTGTATTGCCCTACATGTTTCTGACCCGTTCTATCATTATATATTTTCTTTATGTTTTTGACAATCTGGGTCTTTTCCTTTTTTTTTTTTGCACATCCACAGGGGGTTGATGACTCATTGCTTATCTCAGTGAAATCAGAATCAGAAACACCTTTATTGCATATTTATCACCTATAAGTAATTTGCTTAGGTGGTAAGACGCTGCACATGGTTAAACATAGAGTTGGCAGCAATGTTCAGTATTATATATCACTAGAGTGGAACAATACAAAGTGCAACTCCTTGGGGCAGGATCCCTGCTTCTGTCAGTGTGCCCCAGGGCAATTGTAGCAACAATATACATCAGTTTTTGAATGTGTGCTAGTTTGATATAATGATTAAATGTAGTGTAGATGACTTTGGAGTCTCCTAACTTGTAAAGTTGCTTTACAAAGACATGGCATTTACCAATTTGTAGAGTAAGAACACTGTGGCAAACATTGACAACTTACAAAAGCCAAAAATATAAAATTGAATTAAATAATATTTACAGTGATGCAAATGATCCTCAAGGGTGAGAGGGCAACCTGGGCCTTGCTAATGAGACTAGCTGCAGACAGTAGGAAGCTGATTTCTTGGCAAAGGGTTTTGGTCCTGCTGAATTTCAGCTTCCTACAAAGAGGAGAGTCTGAAACACTACGTCTATGGCTTCCGCTTGGTTACTCATTGTGCTTTGTCATGTGCAATAATGCACCTTGGGTCAAGTGGTCTTGTCATGGATAATATATACAAAGGGCTTTGTTTTCTAACAAATAGAGCAAGAAAAAAAGCATGCAACACAGAAATTATATAAAATAATCCAGCAGAGTGCCATAATTAAAGCTGAGAGAAGAGATTTGTAAGGTAATACTGCATGATTAGGCTCCTTTAAGTATGATAGCAACTCCATTATGAATGGCTCTGAAAATGATTATGATTTTGAAGACCTTTATCATGTAAAATTTGTAAGAATATATAAATAAAAATCATTAAAAGAACATTACCTAAAAATATATATCAGGAGTTTTAGGTATTTCTTTGTTTTGGGAATTAATTTCCTCTCAGTACATACTTTAATTTACACTTAGGGTAAAGTAGTGTTTAAATGCAAAATGGAATGGTGTTTTAAGTTCTTCACATTTTAAAATCTTTTACAACAAAGTAATGAGGAGAGGAATTCATCTCATTGATTGTGCTGGTGGCTCTAATGGATAAAATAACTTTGCTATAAGCTATCTAAACCAAAACAGATGCTTCCATCTCCTTAATACCCTAACCTCCTGCCGGGGCCATGCCTAAAAATGAACACTGATGTTCTCCGTCCGTTTTTATTTTAAGCTGAGTATGCTCATCTGGAGCCCATTAAGACTAATTATTACACGAGTGTGGAGGGAAATTATACCTTCTTCTCGGGGCTTTCAACCAGCTGCCACTGGTTGCTCTTGATCTGCTCCAGCTCATCAAACTTGGCAGTGACGTCATCAATTGTAAGCTGTAAAAGGTCCCAGAATCCAGCCAGATCCTGAGATGTGGGTCGAGGCATGGCACTGGGGTCCTGGAAAGAATGTTTTTAAGGGTCAAAGTAAAATTTGTGTTTTGTAAAACCAAAATGACACGATTCTATATCCTGATATGGTGCAAATGTTTCAATCATTGCCCCTTTGAAGATATCATTTCTGCTCCTAGTTGATATACTGATTATGACCACTGTGTGGCAGCATATTACCAGTAGTGGTTCAAAATCTCAGGACTTCAGATTATAATTTAAACATATGTAGGGACTGGCAAATGTGTAATTATTGAGTCTTAGCGGCTCATGAATTGTTCCTAAACATGGATATAAACCTGGAAGCAGATGGATTTTCCAAATCCACAATTAACCCAAACTATTATTTTGACCAACCCAACAACCAATTCTACCATTTATGATCAGATGGGTTGTCAAATAGAATTCTATCAGCAGCTTGTGTGGAGCTGGTTTGAAATACTTGGTACTAGTATTTGAGCAGCATTCTACTAAATGCTGAGGTTTAGATTTAATGTTTAACAAATATTCCTCCCTGAAAAAAGGAAACGTGTCTGGAACCATTTCTTAATGATTACATCCAAAACAAGTCAAAATTTCCATAACCTCTGAAGTTTTTTTTTTTTTTTACTAGTCTAAAAATACTGTTTTGTTTTGCTGCAAACAAATCTAAAGTAACAACAAGCAAAGGAAGGCAGACAGAAAAAAAACAAATGATTGTTGTCTCAAACAGCACTGCACAAAGATAATGTAAAAATCAAGATGTGTTTCATTATTTCAAAGTCAGCAATACACAGTCTTTTAAAACTCATCCTGCAGTTCTTCTACCATTAAAAGGACGAAACAGACTCATCGGCTTCTCTTTGAAAAATTTCTAAAAGCTCAAGGCAATCTAAGGCTTGTCACTATCAATGTTAGATTTAATTCATCATCCTATTATATATGAGGAGAGTCAAACAGCAGGGTTATTTAAAGGAAAGCAACAGATCTGAAAAAAAAAACACAAAGACAACAAGTCAGAGAGTGGAGATGAACTACCTCCAGTATGTCTTTAAATTATCTAATTAAGTGTCTTACTCTCTTTTTCACTTTCTGCTTCTCCTTTATCTCCAGAAACATTTCACTTATTGAACTCCCATATTCTGATATCTGCTGACTCGGGGTATAGTAGCATCACAAAAGGCATGAGGTATGGGCAAAACGTGACAAGAGCGCTAAACAGTGAGGGTGATGCACTTCATTATTCAGATCCTGAGTTTCCATTCAACCTGCTGCCTCTGTGCATTAATGGATTGCCTCAACACAGGTGCAGCTTCCTATTGGAATTCCCCTTTCGTCAGCTAGGGGTCAATAGCAGCAGAGCGACTGCTCCGCCATTGATCTTTTTGGTCTATTTCTGGAAGGTGAACAAGCAACAGACCAACCACCTGCCCGAGGCCTAGAGAAAGGGAAATCTTTCTACATGCAAATATTGGTCAAGTGTATAAAATAAATGCCATGAGGATATTTTGGTTTGAAAAATTACTCACCAGATTCTGTTGGCATAACCAGTAAAACTGCTGAAATTTTTGAGACATTAGTAGCTGGGCACTTCCAACTGCACTACGGATTTTTCCTAGGACTGGAACACACACACACACACATTTGGAAACTATTACTCACAGCTCGACAGACATTGAGCAATTATCTTTCAGTCATTCATAATAAATAATCAAACACAAAAAAGTTCTGTCACAACATTTCTGCCAGTGTAACTGTTTAAAGTCATAGCTAAATTGTTACTTTTACAAAAACAGTACATCCACACAATGTCTAGAGTGGTCTTAAGTAATGGTATTCATTTTACCAAAATGATATAATGTATAAATAACAGTTTTAATAATTCAAAATCAAACAAAATCAAAAACAAAAAAAGTTCCAAAAGCTATAGATATTTATTTCTGGCTATGATGCTAAATAATAGGTTAAAGTCTGGTGAGATGGAGCTCTGGCGTTGCCACAAGCTTCTAGTTCTGTAATAGGACTGGGAAATGGCTTCTTCTTTCTCTGATACAAGCAGAAAAGAAAAAAAAATAAGGGTGAACATCATTTTCAGATTTTGAAGGGAAATAACTTTAGTTATATTCAAATAATGTTGGTGTTGCTATCTGACTTTTGCTATTTCTATATGTCCTTTATTTCTATGTATTTCACTAAAATATAAAAACATAAAACAGATCTGGTTACTTTTGCCTTTGTCTCCAACAACACATATTATTTGGCAAATGCCACGGGTAAAATTACTTTTATAGAAAATAAAAATATCAAAATATTGATGATGCTATATTGGGCAGAGAAAAATAAAAGGACAATGACAACTGGTCAGTAGAAAGCACCCTGGACCCTGATAGTGGGTCTTAAAATAATCACCCATCATACGCAAAAGTAGTCATGTTAGTCGCCCAGCAGGCAATAGGGAAACGTCCCATTTGGATAATATTATTGTAATATGACAAAAGTGTAATAATAGTGACATCATGATAAATAAATTCATAGTTTTGATGACTTCAGTGTGAATCTACAATTTTTATAGTTATTAAAATAATGAAAACTTTAAATGAGGTGTGTCCAAACTTTTGTTCTGTACTCTCTCTATATATATTTGTAATTAAATTTTTTGACGTTCAATATGTAAATGATTATTGTACAGTTTATATCCACTCATTGTTCTCAAGTGAAATTAAAATTTGTTTTGCGTCTATCAATTTATCTAAAATTTTAAGATTTTTCAAATTTTAAATTTAAAGTTTTATTTTCAATACAGTGTATAAAACCAAATTTTATTTTGAAAATATTGATGTTAAAGAGCAGAAAACCCTGCTCAACTCAGGACACTCACTCTCCTCTGACAGGTCATGCTCCTCTGCCTCTCTTTCCATCTCTTTGCACCACTCCTCCAGCCTCTTGGTTTCATTGTGAAGGAGCTGCATGAACCAACCGCCGTCCCTCCGGTGGGGGGACACTCGGCCTGAGTCGGTGCTCTCCAGGCTGGGTTCCACCAACCAGGGTTCAGGCTGTGGGCTGGGGGGCCCGCTGGAAGGCCGATAGTCCTCCCTGTAACTAAAAAGGCCCTGCGTGCGAACGGTTCGGATGGCTCCATACTGGGTTGGTGTGCTTGGCTCAGAGTGCCGGCCGAAGGCGCCACCGAACTGCAGGCCTTTGTCCTCCATGGAAGGAAAGCCTTCCAGCTCCAAGTCTGCTTGAACTGCAGTGGTCACACTGTTGGAACGCTTGAACCTTCCATGCCTAACATGAGATGGAAATTTAATATAATATACCAACTTCAGACAAAAAACAAAACATGTAGTATGACCTGCACCACTTACCGCTTCCTGTCCTCCACCTGGATCCCTATAGAGTGAAACTGTGGAAGGCCCTTACTTTCAGCCTCAGAGTCTGTCACAGTCTCCACCTAGGAAATAAAAACAGCAGTGTATAATGGTATATGTTAAGGATCAAGTTGCGAAAAAAGACTTTTGTTTGTCAGATAGGAGTAAAAAATTGTTTCAGATTGGCATTAGGTTCAAAGAAAAGATCAGAATCATATGCTTTCAATTATTCTTTCTATTAGAGCTATTGCATATGCTCTCTGCAGATATAGATCTTAAAATATTTCAAACTTGTGACCAGTTCTGCACTTCTTGAAAATTAAACATTTTCCTATTCATCTTTATAAAACGGCTAAAGCTCGATCAGAAAGGATAATTCTAGCTTCAGCTGTTGGAGCTGAAGAAAAACACTATTACCGGTATTATGAAAACCCCCCATTCCACACAGGGCTCGGTGTGCTCAGAGTGTGTTAAGGGGGATTTTCAGTTTACAAATATTAAGTATTAGCTGTGTTTATTTTGATATTTAAACAAGGGTAGACTTTAAGGGTAAAAAGGTTGATTTTATTTAGGGTCATCATAGTTAAGGATACTGAATGACAATTATCTCCGTTATTCATTTGTTTGTTGTTCTGTGCACATCATGCAAAATCTAAATAGGTTTGCAGTTCTAATATGACAATGTATTAACAAAACATTGAAAAACTACTTTACCAAAGCACTATATGTTAAAATAGTAATTTGAGTTAGTATTATTGAAAGTGTAATGACAGCTAGCAGTTTTCTTGTTACCTGTATACCAATAGAGGAACGTGGGGTTTTGAGATACTCCTCAGCCTTTGATACAAGGACGGCCTTGTCACATGTCTGGACAGAGGTGTGACTTCCCACCAACGCATGTCTCTTTCCCGCTGCTGTGTCCATGGCCATTGTGACCGCCTTGGTGCTGTCCAGGCTGTCTGTTGAGCTGTAGATGGGGCGGCCAAGGCTATCCGTGGTCCACAGACCACCTCGGGAATGCCTGCCATCCTGGTAGGCATCCTGGGTGGACTCTGTGCTGCTCTGGGCTGTCACAGAAATAAGAGGCTTGGTGGTGGTGCGAGGGGGCACAGGAGGTGGGGTCTTCTTATAACTGGGAGGGTATGAAACCGCTAGATACCAAAAGCAAGATGAGAGAAGGAGGGGGGGCGAGGCAAAGCGAGGGGAGAGGGTAAAAAAAAAAAGTGATAATGTAAAACATGGCCAAAGCTGATAAAGGCAAATGTTGCAGTTCATCAACATCACACAGAGTGAGATGGAAGAACTCTTTGCATGATGGGAAACTAGACATTGATTTAGCTGCTAAAGCAAAGGAAATGTCAGTAAGGTGGAAAGATAGCAGCTTTTCTTTGGAGATAAAAAATAAAGGATTATGAAAAAGATTAGAATTTTGTTGGAAAATGAAATTCCATTAAATCCTTTCAGGAGGGACCACAGAGACGAGTTTGAACACATAGCTTCTGCATTCTATTAGACAAAACATTGCTAAAAAAACTTTTTATGGTTTAAATGGTCTTTTTTAGAGTTAAGTGGAAAAAAACACAAACATTACAAAAAATACTGTAATTAAGTCATTTATTCTTAAATTGAGCTGGTAAGTGAGACACCTTTAGTGACACATTATTTTCAAATATCTGTATTCTATCAAAAGACTGAACTACACTTTATATGTAGAAATAATGTTTTTTTTACAGTGAATACAAAATTAAATTAACTATTGCTGAATCAGGTCGCTGTCTAATCAAATGAGCAGGCAATACCAGGTTTTTCTCCAAGTACAGCCAATTAATTTACAAAATGATCACTATCAAAGTTCTAGAGTTCCTAGGAATGATACATTAGATGACTGTAACCAGTCTGTTCCTAATTGGATATTAATAAAGTAGATTGTTCTGTAGTAGAATGGTTTCTTACAAAAATAAAACTCTTTAATAGTCGCTGGTGAAGATTCTCAGTCACCCAGGTCATAGTCATTTCAAAAAAGTTCAAAAACAATCCACTGGACTTTGTTTCCAAGTTTGAAGATGTTTCAATTCCCATACAGGAAGCTTTTTCAATTCAAAATGTCAGACATACCGTTGAGTTCAAGCTTTTATAGAGTAGACCAAAAACAAAGCCTTGTTTTGGCTTAGAAAACATGCAAATTGAACCGGATGAACCAGTCTGCCCCTTTGGAATGGGCAGTCGTTTTTTCTTTGTTAGCCTGCAATCACCCATACCTGTCTTTGTCTCTAATAGGGGTGTCGTTAGAGGAGATTGCTGACTTGGCTGAACAGGGAGGTGCTCTGCTCCTGTACCGCCAGTCTTGTCCAAGTCTCGACAAGTCTCGTCTTGTCCCGAGAAAAGCTACTTCCTTGGGACAAGACTCGGCAGTACATCTACACCTTATGGGCAAAGGACATTCTTTTGAGGACAAGACTGTTTACATTTTGGACAATGAAGACAGGCGGTCTGAGAGGGGGGTAAAGGAAGCCATCTTTGTTAACAAAGAAAACCCAACCTTAAACAGAGGGGTTGGACTTAGCTTTCAAAACCCTACAATACAGCAATACAGTTGATTCCTTCCTGGATGGGAAGCGAAATGTCTTTAAAATTGGAAACAAAGTCCAGTGGATTGTTTTTTAACTTTTCTGGAATCTTTAATAGTCAGGTAAATAAAGTTGCCTTTAAAGCACTATAAATAAGGCCATATTTCTCATGATACAGTAAAATAAGGCTTTCTTTGCACCTTGACATCCAAAATAAAGCTCAAAATTAATTACTTGAAATGGTTTCAGATGTTCTTTTTGAGGTGTATTTTTTGTCTTATTTGTGTTTGTTAGTTTCCTTGAAAAATGGTGCAAGTTAAACACAAAAAACGAATTGCCTCAAGACTTTGGCTCAATCTGAATACTTCTAATCAGCAAAGATACCTAAGTTATGGTTGAAGTGTGTCGTTATAAAAAGTGCTATCTAAATAGCGCTTGCAGTAAACAGGAGCTAAAAAGAGGAAGGGGTATTTTTCCTGGCACTAATTTATGTTGTATATGGAGCTCCTGACATTCCACATTGCACACAATTCTTTGTGTAACAGTAAATATCTGCACAGCTCTCTTCAGAGTAAAAAAAAATACATTATTTACCCTGTTTGAAAAATGTGAATGTACACATCTTTGTATGTTTTGGGTTTCGAAACGGAGTTTGGTTTTATAAGGGAGAAATTCAGATGTCTGCTACATTTGTGTATTTTATTCATTTTTTTGTATTTCTTTAACAAAAAGCGGTACTCCCAATTTGATCAGCATCATTCCTGTGTTTGCTTGTCTTGTCCTGATGTTTGTAATAATTAAGGCTGTTATGATTCAGCACAGCAGTCTGGAATTGTTTTCCTACCCTCTATTATGTTCTCATTGTTGGCCAATGAGCTGTTGACCAGAGCTGACGAATGGATGCTAAATGTTATTAGCAGCTATGTAGTAAGAAACCAAGGGTACATAGACAAGCAGCCAATGAGAAAAGTAACCCCTGTGCAGTAGGTGCACTGCAAAATGGGATTGGGAATTCACAAATGCAAGTCCTTAAAGCTGCAACATCCAAGCACAACTCCCCAGCACGCTTATTCGTTATCTGCAAGTGGCTTTTATGTTACTTTTTTTTTTCCTACTTGCTTTGATTCTGATTTATCTTCCTGTATTTTAATCATGTAAAGCACTTTGCATTGTCTTTGTACTGAATTGTGCTATACAAATAAATTTGCCTTGCCTTGCCTTGCCTTGCCTTGAAACACCCCATAATCAGTGGCGGCTTGATAAATACATAAAAAAACATTGAATTAAAATCAAATTGATAAATTAAAGTATTTCAAAGTATATTGATATATATTTCTTAGATGTGCAAGATGAATATTTAGTCTTTAATGATGATTAAAGCTGTTTTTCATTTTTCGTCGATTGGTGAGGTATTTCTGCCGAAGGGGACCAAAATCTTTGCACATTGACTCTCGTTAAAAGTTGTACATGCTCAGTAGCTCCTCTGCAATGTAAAAGGATAGGGGAACTCGGGGCACACATTAGGTGGCAAGAACTGTTGTCATAGTTGTAGTGCGGGTGATTGACAGGTCGAGTTGTGGAAGTGAAATCCCTTAAAAAACGTACCAAGAGAAGCTGGAGGTGAAATTGTTTGGACCTGATCAGCTAAAAATCAAAATGAATCAGCAGCCAAAAGACAGAAGGAACGGTACACTTGGTCTTTTTTCCAGGACCTGGTTTAGCTACAAGGCTTGGCTAACTGCATTCAGTAAGGCTGACGCTTTATTCTGCTTTTCCGCCTCCTTTTTCAAAGGACAGGATCTGACCCAGCATGAACAAATACAAGCAGGACTGATTGAAAGCACTCTTTAGAAAAGGGAAAAAAGCATGAACAATCTGGGATTCACATGGAAAATAATATAATATAGTGTAATTTTTCTAGATGTTTTTTAATTTGCATAATTGCTCTTAAATAAACACATTCTCAGAAAATAGTCTTTAAATATTAAAAAATATAAAGCTGACTATGGCTTCTCAATTATTAAACTTTCTTAGGTATGTGACACCATATTGGATCATGCAAAACACAAATTTGCCTTCAAAACGCCTCAGAAGGGCAAGATTTATGTACAAAAAGTAAAAATGTACATGAAAGTATGTATTTTTTGTAATGTTTTTTGTTGTTGGCATTCATATAAATATACTGGTGTGATAACTTAGTTTATGTTTGATTGGTTTTTGGTATACGTCTATTTTGAATTTATAGCCCCACCCCCGAGAAAACTCCACCAGCCGCCACTGTCCATAACCTTGATCTGTGATTGATGGCTAATATTATGTGCTAATATTATGTGCTTGCTGATCAAGAAGAGTATTGACATTAATTGTTGTGACTACCTGGCAAGAAGAAGAGAACATCAACAATGCAGCACTTACTACAAATGTCTAAAATCATTGAAGATAAAAGCATGCCAAAATGTAGTATTGAATAAAATTTTTATTTATTGTTGTGATTCTACCTTAATCTATGAGATACTGTACTAATAGTTTAACAGTAGTTATTAGTAGAGTTGTCTTTTTTGGCTTTAACTTTTTACACTGGTGCCCAGCTTCTGAGGTTCTCATTAGCCTTAATTTTCTATAATTGTTATACTTGTAAATAACCCACTTTCAAAATCAGTTTCCTAATCTGTAGAACCAAAAACAACTTTTTGATTATTCTATTAAGCTAAAAAGCTTTTATGTGATGCAACCTTGAGCCTTTCATGTATGCATAAATAGTGCTTTGGGCAAAGTGTGTTATCTAATAATCGGCATAAGTGAAGTTGGCTAACACAGGAATGTTAGTTTTCCTTTCCTGCTCAAGTGCCCACTGTATAAGCTGAGCTGTTGCTAAACACATATTATGTGCAAACACCAAGGAGACTTCAGATTAAATGAACTCTTTGAACTAAAACTTGTCATAGATTTGACTTCATTCCAACGCAAAGGGGCTGGAGTTCTGTTAGACACAGCAGGTGGGTACCAGAATATAATGAACACAATGACTCAGAGGGTACAGTAACTCCACGCTTTCTATTATTACACACTGGTACTGACTGACTTACTTCCTAAATTGAAATCTTTAAACTGTTCAACACGAGCATAGAATTCAGTAATATTAATGTCAGGCTTTAATAATTTTAGCATGTTGGGAATTTTTTATATAACACTATTCTTTAAAATCAGTTTACCCTTTCATTTCTAATCTTAAAAAAACAAACAAATGAAGCCCTTTATTAGTAGTGATTATCATTATAATGGCTGCACAGACATGTTAAATACCAAGCCCAGTTGAAAAGCAGATGGAGAGGTCTTGAATTTAAGAAAAGGATTTAAACAAAAAATGCTTGAAATGAAACAGAAGATGTTGCACTGGAGGAAAAGTTAAAGTGAAAACTGTTTAAGTAGAACATTTGGTTTAAGAGTTGGAGAGGGGTAAGAAAGACAAACTTAGACTTATTTCACATTTAGGAAAATAACAGATATTGAAAGACAGGTGTAGAAAATAACTAACAAAAACATGGTGTAGGGTGAGGGAAAAGACAAACAGCTAAGTTAACAGA